CACCATCGGTCAAGGGCCGAGTGACCATGGCCAGGGACAACGGGCAGAGCTCGGTGACGCTGACCATGAGTGACCTCAGGGACGGCCATTCCGGCTCCTATTTCTGCGCCCGATGTTCGTACCGCGRTGCCGCKGACGCTGCTCATAATGGTGACAATGGCGGTGATGGCCCCGCCCCCATCACTGTCCCCAACTGTCCCCAAGCCCCACCCCTCCCCCACTGCCGGCACTGACCCTCAGGCTGCGCTCCAAGAGACAGAGCTGAGCATTGAGGCCAAAGCTTCCGGAAGGTTCCAGGGCTGGAGACGGTGACATTTGGGGACAGGAGGGGATGGGGGCGGGGCCAGGACCAAAAGCACCAGCAGTGTTATAACCATCAGAACCCTTGGTGCAGAAATAGGAGCCGGAATGGCCGTCCCTGAGGCCACTCATGGTCAGCGTCACCGAGCTCTGCCCGTTGTCCCTGGCGATGGTCACTCGGCCCTTGACCGATGCTCCGTAGTTGATGACGGAACTCCTGTCTTTGATGCTGGCGACGAATTCCAGGCCCTTCCCGTGTCCCTGGCGATACCAGCCCATCCCAAACTTCCCGAAATCGAATCCGGAGCCGCGGCAGACGAGGGTCAGTGACCCCCCCATGGCCGGAGGTCACCGCCGGACCCCAACAGGGTCACCCAGGGTGTCACTGACCCTCGTGTGCCGCGGCTCCGGATTCGATTCTGGAAATGTTGGGATGCAATGGGTGCGGCAGAGCCCCGGGCAGGGCATCGAATACATCGCGGGGATCAGCACCAGCGGTTCCAGCACTGAGTACGCGCCATCGGTCAGGGGTCGGTTCAGGATCTCGAGGGACAACGGGCAGAGCTCRGTGACGCTGACCATGAGTGACCTCAGGGATGGCGATTCCGGCTCCTATTTCTGTGCCAAATCTGCTGATAGTGCTTATCACGGTGCTGCTGCCTACGGTGACAATGGCGGGGATCGCCTCAAGGTCACAGTGTTGGCCACGCCCCCATGGCTCTGTTCCCTCCTGTCCCCAATCTCCAGCCCCTCCCCCACTCCCTGAGCTCGGCGTCAAAACTGCCGAAAGCAGCGGAACGCTCGCGGTAAATTGGTCCAACAACCAAAGAAACCAAATCAGGAGCCCCAGAACCGGAGAATTTGGCACAGAAATAGGAGCCGGAATCGCCGTCCCTGAGGTCACTCATGGTCAGCGTCACCGAGCTCTGCCCGTTGTCCCTGGCGATGGTCACTCGGCCCTTGACCGATGGCGCGTATTCAGGATAATCGCCATCGCTGTCGATCCCTGCGAGCCACTCCAATCCCTGCCCGGGGCTCTGTCGGGCCCAGCCCATCCCAAA